TTTTTTTTCCCGCAGTTCTAGGATTCTGTTAGTCACAGTTCTATAATCATTTGCAGTCTGAAGTCGAAATTTTTTTCTCATTGATCATTTCGCACTTCAAGGGAGGTTGGGAGACCTACTAAACTTGCAAAACTCGGGATTTTTATTTTTTTTGAATTTTTTTTTGTTCAAACTTTTCTTTTTGATTAGTGGCTCCTTAGCTGGGCATTATTTGGGCAATTATCCAACCCACCCCTCCCCACCTATGTTGTCGCCACCTCTGGTCTTACCTTCTCTATCTGTCTTCGGGTACCCCCTCGGCGGCATAAGGTGACTTGCCACGTCAGCGGACCATGCCAGCAGGACACAGCAGCCGAACAATGCCACGTCAGCAGCAGGGAGTGCCACGACCACGACAGCAGTCCACCGGCCTGATCAATGCTCATGCGCTTACAACAGCCGGCATGGATCAGAAGTCCGGGGAAACGAACGAGGCCTATCAGGCCCGAGCAAAGATCAGCAACGGCCGAAAGTGGCCGTGGTTGCGGCCGCAACGCCAACCGACCAATCAAGCGAGGCCGTGTCTGCCAATGAAGGGGACAAACTCGCAGCCGCCCGTGATGGTGGCCGCCCCGGCAAAGGCCGAGGACGCAGCAAGACGAAGACAAACACCACCGGCGCAGCAGCTTCAGCCCCATAGACCCACTACGGCCAATCGGGAAACTGAGCACCACCGGGAGTGCCTCGACGACACTCTCGACATCTCCGGAACCGGTCGCTTCGCGGGTGACCGCCCTTCGTTCCGAGGCACATGCGGAAATCGATAGTCCTCCTCTTCTATATTCTTATGAGGACTACGCAGCCCGGCTCGTTCCTATGCTGGGTTCTCATGCTCAAGGACAAGACATGTGTGCGGCATCTTCACCGTCCGGTAGCGATGACTTATCGTCTTCAAGTGGTCCTTCACGGGATTCGGTGCGCGAGTTCAACATAGGGGTATTGGACCCGCTCACGTCTGAGGATTTCGCATGGCTTCCTCTCCCGACCACGGGCCGCTTGCAGGGACCACAATGCGCATCACTATGCGCTCATCCTCACACGTACTTATCCTTCTATGCACCACCAACTTCGCCGATGGATGACGAAGTCGCGGTGGGGGACATCCTTGCGTACGTTACCAAGGTGGCCCGCGAGTTTCGCAATCAGCAGTACGACGACAACAACGCGCCGCTCCTTTATGTCCGGATCCAAATTGGGCAAGCGTCCTGCAGCATTTTGCTGAATAGCGGAGCGACTCTCAATTTAATGAGCCAAGCCTTTATGCCAAGGGCTGGCCTTGGCGCACAAGTTCGGAGGAAGGCAAACCCGACGGCAATCAAGTTAACGGACGGAAGGACGCAACGACTTATCGACCGTTACTTCGAGGCCGCACCGATGGATTTCGCACCTCATGCATGCGCATCAGTGACATTCGACATTTCGGACACGGACTTCGCAGGGGGGGGGTGTTACATGCTGCGCCTGCAACAAGTTGCACGGACCATTTTCAGGCCCGTGTCATTTTCAGCCGGACAGCTTGAAAACCAGGGCCTACAGGTCCCGTTTCTGTTTCAGCCTGACAGCCTGAAAACCAAGGCCTACAGGCCCCGTGTCTGTTTCAGCCTGACAACCTGAAAACTAGGGCCTACAGGCCCCGTTTCTATTTCAGCCTGACAGCCTGAAAACCAAGGCCTACAGGCCCCGTGTCAGTTTCAGCCTGACAGCCTGAAAACCATGGCCTACAGGCCCCGTGTCTGTTTCAGCCTGACAACCTGAAAACGAGGGAGGCACCGTGTCTGTTTCAGCCTAACAGCCTGAAAACCAGGGCATATAGGCCCCGTGTCATTTCAGCCTGACAGCCTGAAAACAAGGGCCTATAGGCCCTTAGGCTTTAGCCAGAAGCTACCTGGAAACTTCCCGGAAGCTTCCTTAGGGTCTAGCACGTTTGGGCATTGGCAAGAGCGGCCTCCTGGACAGGCCAGCACTATATAAGACTGGCCCGCCCTACAGGCAGGTAGGTAGTTTGGAGGTAGCTCTTAGGTACTTCCCAGGCACCTCAAGTGCAGGCAGGAGGCAGTTAGTAGTCTTCAGGATTTGGCAGCAGCACTCTGGAGGAGCGCTGCAAGAGTAGTATTAGTGCTCGCAGTAGTCTTCATCGCTGGGCGCTTTGTAGCGTTAGCAATAGTCGTCAGCACTAGGCGCCATAGGTAGAGTACTACTAGAGAGAGAGAGATTGGGTGGAGGCCAGGGATACTTACCTGCCGTGCCATTGCTCCAGCTTCATCTTCGAGGTACGTGCAGCTCAGCGCTGGGCGCTTTGTAGCGTTAGCAGTAGTCTTCAGCACTAGGCGCGATAGCTAGAGTAGTACTAGAGAGAGAGAGAGATTGGGTGGAGGCTAGGGATACTTACGTGCAGCGCCGTTGCTCCAGCTTCATCTTTGCGGTACCTGCAGCACAGCGCCATCTTCACAAGTTAGTACCTGACACATTAGAGAGAGAGAGTTCTTGTTCCTCTTCTCACTCCACCATCTCCTTCTCACCCTCCCGCTATCTGACTTCACCTCATCAGCAGACTACGAGATTGAGAGAGCGTGCTTGGTGACATTTGGATCCAGACTCGACGTTGGACTTCAGACATATCGAAGAGGGATTATTTGGGATTTGAAACGAGACTTGGTGTTGATGACTTTCCCATCTCCCCCTTCCTCTTCTTCGTCTGATCCCCTCCTCTTCGTCTGTGTATGTCTGGGCTTGGCGCCTCTTTCCTGTGTATAGCGCCAGGCTCGTTCACACCTTGGGATGGACATGATGCATGTTTGGTCTGCGTTTAAACATTGATTGGGCTAGTCATTTGCATTATAGCATTCTGCTTCGCTATCTTGTGCTACGTGAATGAGGTCAGTCCCGGTCAGGTCAGGACTTGTATCTAAAGTCTTCCCAACGCTATAAAAGTACCATTTTGTATGTATCGGAATGCACATTGCTTGTTGAGATTCTACTTGCACTGCATCGTCCATTCAGTCCTTTTTATCACATTGCGGATCCTCGATTATTATGTACATCGCCCAACTGGGCATGTAACACAGAGAGAGAGAGAGAG